ACAACTATGAATTAAGAGATAAAGTTTATGTTCTTTATTTATTTCCTTCCATTTTTTTTATTTATATTCGTGTTGTTATAAAGAGATAGTCGTTTCCATATTATTATTTTTTCTCATTTCAAAACTGACATCCGTGCAACGCACGGGTGAAATACTAGTTTAGGATAAAATACAAAAACATCCCTTAACAACTAAGGCCAAATTATCAAAACATATTAAGAAAAGCTATTTGGGGAAGTCATAGAAATTAAAGAAAATAAATAAATAATCAAGTGAAACATTTATCAATTACAAAATTGGTTATGTACATGACAAATTTAAATTACATCCGCGATACCTTCAAACACTTATTTTTATCACATTTAGCACCATTTTAAATGATAAACATTAGGCCACCGATAGTTGCAATACTAGTTTCAATAAATATAAGTTCAAAGTAAAGAAAAATCACAAAAAAATCTATTTTATTAAGATTAAAAGACAAATATACCCATTAGTTAAATTACCTTTTGTTTGTGCAAGATCAAATAATAGATCAAGTGTTTTGCAAAAATAAAAAAATAAAAATAATAAATGCTCCGATGAAACCCTTCCCCTTCCCCGTCGCCCATGCCAGTCCGCTGCAAACTCGCCGTCCAAGTACCGCCGCCGCAATGAGCGACCTAAACTCGCCTAACAAACTAGAGTAATCCATTGCTAATTCTTTATTTTATCACCTTAAAATAAAGAGGAAAAAAATCAAATTCAAATTGTTTATAATTGATATCAAGATGTCAAAAATATATATTGCAAATCGACATCTTAGTGTCGATTTTTTGTCAACCAAATCGACATGTTGGTTATCTCGAGTTTGGTACCAATAAATCGACATCAAGATGTCGAAAATATATGCTGCAAATCGACACCTGAGTGTCAATTTTTTGGCAACTAAATAGACATGTTGGTTATGTCGAGTTTGGTGCCAAAAAATCAACATCTTAGTGTCGATTTTTAGCTAACAATTTCGACCTGTAAATGTCGAACAAGTGAACGCATTTTTTTTTTCAAAAACGATAGCTAGAAAATACATAAATGCATACCTTCTTGGCTTCTTCTACTTTAGAATCTTGCATTTTGATGTCTTTTGATTCATACGCGCCCCTCTTTGTAAGGTTTGTTGAGTTTTGAGGGTTTTGAATGTTTAGGTTTTGTGGGTTTATGGAGCAGGAAGAAGAAAGGTTTTGGTGGGTTTTGGAAGATGGAGAAGATGGTTTGGTATTGTGGTCTTGTGATAGATTTTTTGTGGTTTATGAGTTTATGGAATTGCATCATTTTATTTTTTATGAATTTTTTATTAGTAAGGGTATTATAATATTTCTACAATGAAAATTTTAATTTGAACTTGCACTTAATAGAATTAGTATTGCAAATAGCCGCGGCCTAAACATTTAAATTTCATTTCCCCCATTGTACTTTGGCTCGATATCACTTTACACCCTTCTACTCTCGAGTGCATTGATTTGTCCTCCTGTACTTGAAAATTGTCTCAATCTGGCATCTTCGTTAGTTTTCAGGCCTTTCACCTTAACACCGTTTGATCTAAGTCTGAAAATTACAAAAAAGTCACCCCACCTGGTTTAAATAATTATTAAAAGAATTAAAAAAATTAAAAAAATATTAAAAATAACCTGTTGTTGGCGTCATGGACTATGTTTTCTCATTGTCTTGATTTTTTATTATTATTTTTTTAATAATTATTTAAACTAGGAATATTGGTGTTTTTGTAATTTCATAGCTTAGATCAAACGGTGTTAAGGTTAAATGTCTGACAACTAACATCGAGAGTCACATCGAAATAATTTTTCAAGTACAGATGGGCAAATCGATGCAATCAAGAATAGAAGATTGTAAAGAGATACCGAGCCAAAGTACAAGGAAAAGTGAAATTTTCCCTTATAATAAAACTCCTCATACCTAATGGCTAGGACAAAACAATCATATTATATTCCAACAAAACAATTGCTCCCCCACCTCACCCTATAAAATAATATTATTACAATTACCACAAATGGTAAAATCGGTAAATGTTAAAGAAAATTCCATTGAATCAAAAAGATTCTATGGAAAATCCACATTATAAAGGGACTATGCAAGACGACAACAACAACAAACTTAAGGGGGTGTTTTGATAATTATGGGTATGTAAGTGACCTTAGTTCAGGGATTTCTCGTAATATACGCTAATATTGATATACTATTGATTAATGGTTTTATAACTCATGTGTTTTAACTAAAACATATGAGAACGGGTTGGAAAATAAAAAAACAAATCGAAGTTGAAAAATCGATGAACGTGATACGAAAGTAAGAATCCATCATTTTGTCAATAGGCTTTTATGTGGTTGTTTTTTTGTTTTCTTTTTTTTTTTCTATTTTTTTATTTTTTGTTTTTGCTTAACTATATAGTAAAAGTAATGTGCTAAACACAATAAGAAGAGTAACTTTGTTTTTCTTTTTGTTGTTTATGTTGTTTAAACACTAAAGAGGATCTATGGTTTGATTTCAAAGTTTGTACGACAAACTTGTTATGTGGTTGATACTGTATAATGAATATTTTAACTATTTCAAAAAGGTGTTTATAAAATTTTAATGATAAATGGGTACCTAAAATAGTTTTTGTAATGCTTTTGATTAATGTTGGGGTTTATATTATGGTCATCGGGTAAAACACACCGTGTAGATTTTTATCATTCATAAGCACACAAACAAAAACAC